AAACAGAATGATTATTTGCATTGCCAAAGATTAGCTGTCACCCAAACAAGCTGGGAAAGGCTCAGAATATTCAAGCCAATCCTTGTCACATTACAAGGTGTTTTCAGCATTGTGTATTCATGGAGTGTTGTCCAGACATCCTTCTGACTGTATGGAACTTGCATTTACATACAGTACATGCTCCAAGAGAGGTTGCCCTGCATGGTTGCACATGCTTGTAATCCCAGCTACTTGGGAGGCAGAAGCAGGAGGATGACAACTTGAAGGCCAGCCTGGGCGATTTAGTGAGACTCTGTTTTGTTTTTGAGATAAGGTAGTACAATGTAGTCCTGGAACTCACTATGTAGCCTAGGCTGGCCTGGAACTCGTGGTGACCCTCTTGCCTCAGCCTCCCAGACGCTGGGATTACAGGTGTATGCTACCATGCCTGGCTTGAAATTGTTTAAAAAAAAAAAAAAGAGCTGGGGATATAGCTCAGGGATTCCTGGGATCCTTAAGGATTTCAGGGATCCTTAGTACCACCATTGAAAAAGCAGCCTTCTTGTGAATGTGATCTATATGGAAAAAACCTAAAAGGTCCCCGAGACGAAGCTAGACTTGGAGAAATGGAGACAGTTCCTCCTCACTGCCTCTCCTTTTGCTCTCTTCATAAGGGTTAAAACTTTCCAACTAATTCCTGATTTACTGGTTTTTTTTTTTTTCCCATCTTGCAATAAAGAGGTCCTTTCTGAATATTCTACTAACTGCAGTGGTTTTCAAATTAAGCTCAGCAGGGCTGGTGTTCCGTAGACTAGATGAAGGGTTCTGCGATGAAGATTGAATAACCACCACATTCCAGTTCAAAGAAAAGAAACAGATAAGATTTTCTCCATTTTAAGGTTTTTCCATTTTATTTTCTAAAACTTTGGTGCCTGCTATTCTAGACTCTATTTGTCCTGTCAAAGCACAAATTTATGTATTGAATGATTTTAATTTTCTTTTCTTTTTTGAGACAGTGTGATTATGTAGCCTAGGCTGGCTTCGAACTTGCAGTGATCCTTCTGCCTTAGCCTTCCCAGTGCTGGGATTATAGGCTTGCACCACCATGCCTGGCTGAATTTGTATTTCATCATATTATAACAAGGGTACTATCCTTTTGAAAGGCTTAGGGTAAGTCTGAGAACCATACAGAGTCTTCATGTTTTCTATCCAGCTATTTTCCTGCAAACCTTTTAAAAAATATATATTTATAATCTGATGCTGGCCCTATTATTTTAAGGGGGTGGAGGGAAAGGGGAAAAAAAAGAATGGACATGTGTTATATACGTTACCAATTCCCCACAATGAATATAATCATTAGGTACTGCAAACGTACTGATAAAAGTAAAAAATTAGAAAAAGTATAAATGCAAAAAAAAAACACCCTTATTTATGATATTGGGGTTGAACCCAGAGCCCTCCCACTGAGCTACATCACCAGTCCTACTTTACTTTTTGTTTTGAAAAAGGTTCTCGCTAAATTGCTAAGTTGTACAGGCTGGGTTCACACTTGGAATTCTCTTGCCTCAGACTCCTAAGGTGCTGGGATTACAGTCGAGGCTCCACTGCCTTGCAAATAGCCTTAGTGCACCTAAGAGACAGATACTTAGGTTGAAACATGTCTGCAGCAGGTAATCCTCCATCAGGAAGGAGCTGGCAGAAGGCCTACACTGTAACATGGCGGTAGCAAGATTCCTTGGCCCTTGCAGTTGGTGGCAGCAGTTCTCATGCTGTTTGGGTCATGGAAGCCAGAGGAGGCAGGCAAACCATTCCTACCCATCAGTGTACTCCCCACAGCCCAGGGGGAATAGAGCCCACTCACCGGCAGAAGAGAGTTTACTTCTGCCAGGCACGGTGGTGCACACCTGTAATCCCAGCACTTGGGAGGCTGAGGCAAAAGGATCGCTGTGAGTTCGAGACTAAGTTGGGCTACATAGTGAGTTCTAATTCAGTCTCAACTACATCATGAGACCCTGTCTCAAAAATCAACAACAACAACAAAAAAGAAAGCTTACTTCTAAGGAAGCATTGGGGCTGGACCAGCACAATCCATGTCTGAGATGTATACAGTCATAATCACGGTGAGACAGACTAAAAGGTGCACTGGATTGGGGTCAGTGGCCATGAGTTCTGGTCCATGCTTCCATTCCCAACCAGCGATACAACAGGTAAACCATCTCACATTGCAAGGGCTTGGCTTCCAAACACACCGACTCCAAGGGATCATAAGTGAATCTATCACTTATGTACCCATCTTGGAGAATTAATGAAACTTTCTGTGCCTTATTTGTCTCATCGTTAAGGTGGGGATGGTAATAATAGCATCAAAAGTTCTCAGACTAAATGAAGTCTTTTACATCCAGGGCTTAGAAGAATGCTGAGCACACAGTAAATGCTATATATAGATGATTGCTATTATAATCAGGAAAAGTATAGCACGTGAGGTTTATCATCTTTAACATCCCTTCTAGGTTGAATATGACACAAATTTAAACATTCAGTAATTGAGCATTTCCTACCTACTTAGCACTAGCTTGTGTTTCCCATCTATAAAATAAGGGGCTAAAATCATTTTGAAGGTTCTAATATGTTCTACAGTGCTAGAAACAGACTTGATGATGGGGATTTAGGAAAGGTGCTGATGGTGGCCCTGCCCTCCAGGAACTACAGGAGGCCAGACCGACACACAGCCTGTCTTATAGGGTAGAGGTAAGTGTGACAGACTGCAGTGTACCCAGCATATTTCTCCAGCTTCTTTGCTTGGTTTCTATAATTTTTTTTCCAGTAGTGGGGATCGAACTCAGGACCTTGCACCTGCGAGGCAGGCATGGTGCCACTGTACTAAATCCCCGGCCTGGTTTCTAGAATTTTTTCAATTCAAAATGAAATGAAAGACAAAGATGACCATTTCAAAATATACACCTGATTTTATGATGCACACATTTCTTTATCTTAGTTGTCTCTTGCACCCCTCCCATGGCCTATAAACACATTGCTTTAAAAGGTAAACGTTAATAACACTTGATTCAGGTTGGAGAGCAAATTCTGATAGTACTAAGAACACTGGCTATCTGAATGGAAAAGTCAGGCAAAGAGGTCAAATTACAGGAGAAGCCTGCACACACTTCCAGTCAATGGCAGGATACCTATCACTTTCTCATTTTCACTTCCCATTTTCTTTTTGGGGTGCTAGGGATGGAGCTCAGGGCCTGTACCAGGCAAGCATTTTACCACTGAGCTACATCCTCAGCTCTCATTTCCCATTTATAAACATTACGACCAACATTTCACTCTTATCCCGAACACCCTGTGAAAAAGAGAAGGCAGATGGTCTTGTCTCATATTTTAGATGAGGCTCCAAGGTATATTTTTACAGCGATAGAGGTCTGATAAGCAATACAAGCCTGTTTTCTTAACTCTTTTTCTTCTTCTTGCCTCAGTGTCTCCCAGGTGTAGGCATCCCATTGGGGATTTGGAGGGGACAAGAGTTGTCTTGCCGGGTTTTCTGGGTGGGTGCTGAGCCCTGAAGGAAGAGAATGTAGGGAGTGCTGGGTCTGAGGAGGAAGCAGCTTCAGATATCTAAATTGTAGGACCTTGAGTGGGGAAGTGGATGCTTAGGGCAAGGCTGGATTGAAGGACGAGCTTGCACATGACTGAGGGAATAAGGAGAAAGCCAGGCAGGCTGCTTCTTTCACAGCTGGGTCGAATGGTACCCTCTCCACAGTCAGATTCACGTAAGTCCTGGGAAGTCACCCTCTCCTCCTTTCTGGTTCCACCATCATTTTAACCCTCAAAGGGTTTATGGCAGCTTTCAAATGGTTTTTCCCATCTCCCAGGTCACTTGAGTAGCTGTTCCGTGCAGGAAAATAAATAAAAAGTCCCAAGCAATTTCTCAGTTCCCATACCTAGCGATGCACCCTTTCCCCCTAGCAGAGCGCTACCCTTTGGGTAAAAGGTGCAGGGGGAGGGACTCCGAGAGGTTGGCAGGTGCCGGGAGGGGAGGCCCAGGGAGCGGCTGGGGCGGGAGGGTGGTGCGGAGAAGGCCTCTTCCTCATCCCCTTTCTGGGCTCTGGGTGCTGGAGGTTGGATTCAGGGGCCACGGCCCCTAACGGCTGGGGGAAGAGGAAAGAAGTGGTGCGCAGGAAAGCAGGCCGCACACACCTGGCGCCTTGTGGAATGAAATCTTAATTAATTATTAAACTGAGTTCCCGCGGGAGGGAGTGGGC